AGGGCTGTGAATGACCCGGGCCCTGGCGTTGTTGTCACCGTCGGCCGGATCCAAAAAGCGTCTGTGGGGGTCCGCGCTGTTGTTCCGGGTCGATGCGGGACGCAGGACACTGGCCGATGGTCCCCGTGTGACCGCCGCGAAGGCAGCCTCTGGAGGCTGTTAGTTCAAGGCCCCGGTGGCTCCACGGAGGCCCTTTTTAAATAGTTGCCAGACTGCAGAATAATAAGGTTTTTCATTTGAAAATAGCCACTGGTATTTCTCAGGATATGTATGCTTAAGACGCATTCACCTTTACTTCTCCGATTCAAAATAGCCACGGGCCTCTCAGTCCATTAGCCCAAAACATTTAAAAATACTGTGAAAAGTAGGGGCGCCTGAGTTGGCCCAGTCAGTTAAGCGTCAGACTTGGGCTCAGGTCATCATCTTACAGTTCGAGAGTTCGAGTCCCACGTCGGACTCCGTGCTAACAGCTCACAGCCTGGAACCTGCTTTGGATTCTGTGTCTCCCCCTCCCTCAGCCCCTTCCCTGCTTGCACTTTGTCTCTCTCTCTCTCTCTCTCAAAAACAAACCTTAAAACAATTTTTTTTAAATAATATTAAAAGTAAAACATACATTGGGAAAAACACCTAAACTAGGCAAATTGTCATTTTCCTAAACATAAAGGTAGACAAGATAAAGATTTGTCTTCGAAAAATTTTTTTTAAAGTTTGTTTTTGAGAGAGAAAGAGAGAGGGGCACAGAGTGCAAGCGGGGGAGGGCTGGAGAGAGTGGGGGGCACAGAATCCGAAGCAGGCTCCAGGCTCCAGGCTCCAAGCCGTCAGCACAGAGCCGATGCGGGGCTCGAACTCACCAACCATGAGATCATGACGTGAGCTGAAGTTGGATACCTAAGGGACTGAGCCACCCAGGCGCCCCCTAACATAAAGATTTTTGTAAGCATAAATATGTAAAACTGTTTCTGGTGTCAGTGTTATCTTAGATTTATATACACTTCTACTTATAAATATAATTACTTATATATTTACATAATGTATATATTTTTAGTGTCACATGTATTCTATAAATGTGACACAAAACTGCATGTAATATAGCTCTTTCAAGCAAAGCCTGATAGCTAAACTATATGTATATTCAAATATATATTCCCATTACATAGGAACTCCTATGTAATGGGAATATATATTTATAGGAATATAAAATACTTCTATTTCATACGTTTAATATATTTGAAGAAGTAGAAGTAATCGCATCTTAAATACCTCCCAGTGTATTCTCTGAAACAGGATTTATGTGGGTCTCATTTAAAGAATGAATAATCAAGTCTCCCTCCTTATCATTCAAGAAACATTTAAATGCATTTACTTAGCTTAATGCGATGTGTCCGTTGCAAAGTCGGCTGGGTAAGGAGGAGGTGCACTGCTGGTCATTCCATTGCTGTTCCAGAGAAGGGACTTAGTCCCAGAGCCGGGTGACCCCACTGGCAGTCCGCTCTTCAGGCGGGGTGCGCACCAGGTCAGATCGAACCTGTTCATTTCGCTTCCGTTCATAAAAGACACCAAGCTTCTCCAGACCGTGAGCAAAGTGTTCAGACATTTTCAAGTGCCGACCAAATCTATGTAAGAAAGTTAATATTCCCTTTCTTCGCTCAACCATTTCTATTTTTGTGATGAGTGACGTATGTGACGCCCCGCCCCGATTTCACACCTCCAAGAACAAATAAAAAGCAAATGTGTTACTTATAATGTGTATCTAAAAAGAATACTTTTGTGTTAAATTTTAAAACTTAATCCTCAGCCGTTCTCATTTATTTTTAATGAGGGGACTTCACTAGAAAGCAAAAGCTAATTGAAAATAAATCAAGAGTGATTAACGTTTTCCAAATAGGAATCACAGTCCAAAACGGGGCAAAATATCGCGGTTAGTGCCTTTATTAGAGCAACGAAAGTCGTCAAATTGATGACAGAACGGATGTGGTCTTCGGCGCTTTATCTCGTTTGGTTAAATATCATTGACGAGATGTACGAAGTGAGTAAGTTGCACCAGTATTATTCCCCTGAGAGGTCCTAGTTGGCTCCTGATAGGTGGGCTCTGCATTGTGCGTTATTGTTTTCTCCTCTTGCAAGCAAAGAGAACAATATAGGAGAGAAGTAATCTCAATAACATTGAAACCTGGTAAACCAGAGATCACGGAGGGTTCCTTGCCAAGGGACCCATACTGTAGCTGGGCAGAAAGGGACAGACGGGTTGGTAGATGGAGGGCGGGCAGATCTGAGTGCTTGTCACACACACATTTACCCCGGAATTGCTGAAGGGAAGGTTATGGAATGCGTCTGATGCATTATTCAAGTTATCTCAATCTTCAGAGAGTGGCCGAGGACAGAGGTGGTTCTAAGACCCCACCCAAACTCACAAAACAAACAAGCTGGTGATCAGTTACATACGTAACAGCATGGATGTTTCCGTATAATGGTGACAGTAATTGTACAATCAAGTGGCCCGATCGCTGTTATCGACAGTTACTGTCTCTGACTCTAAAATTGGATATGATATAGCTCTTTAAAGCAAACTCCTGTAAGTAAACATAACAACAATTAAAGCAGCTCTACTGTTTGTTCTCATGTGAGATGTAAGTTTGAGAGTGATGTTTATTCTACCTATTGATATTTAAGAATACTCAAAAAATCATGAATATGCTACCCGTCTCAGGGAAGGAAGGGTCTGGGTTCCTGAGAGCATGTGTTCAGGAATCCCTGTGACCAAATATACCCAACCAATTTTGAGGTCGTTGGATCCCATGATGCTTTTTTTTTTTTTTAATATTTATTTATTTTTGAGAGAGAGAGTGCGAGCGGGGGAGGGGCAGAGAGAGAGAGGGGGAGAAATTCCCAAGGGGGCTCCACACTGTCAGCACGGAGCCCGATGTGGGGCGGCTCGAACCCACAACCGCGACGTCATGACCTGAGCCGAGGTTGGACGTTCAACCGGCTGAGCCACCCAGGCGCCTCTCCATCATGCTTTTTTATGTCTGTCCCAGAGTATAATGAAGAATCTTCCTTTTTATAATACACATTTTGATTCACATAACAAAACAATAACGTGTTTTCTAGCATTTGCTAATTGGAATACTAATGCCTGTGTGAATTGTCTTAAAAGCATATTGACTAGTGAATGCTTTAAAACAATTTTTTTTTTTTGCCTCTTTGTTTTGGTCTAGATTGGACATGCATTCTTTACTACTGTGATAGCTTGAGCAAACACTTCTAGACCTCAGTTGAACACCCCACCCCTGGCAGCGCTTTAAAATAGTCTGAGGAACTTTTAAGACAACTCTGATGTCCCACCCTCCCACCCAAAGATCCTGAACTATTGTCTGCTATGCACCCAAAATTGCGAACCACTGGCGTAGCGAATGTTTTCGGTACTTCAAGCATTTCCAACGGGAGATCTCAAATAATCTACTTTCCAGAGTTGGATGGTCTCAATATCTCCAAAGTTTAACACAGTGGCATAGTGATCATCTATTGCTGCGTGATAAATTGCCACCGCTTAAGGCTGAACCCAACCCACTTTGATTATTTCACAGTTTCTGTGGGTTAGGAGTCGGGGCACAGCTTAGCCGGGTTCTCCGCCGAGGGTCGCATGAGGCTGTGATCGAGGTGTCCACCCGGACCGGAGTCTCATCTGGAGATTCCTCTGGGGAGGGAGTCCCGTCATCACCTGCATGTTTGTAAGCAGCATTGAGTGGCTTGTAGCCGTAGGACTGAGAGCGTCTGCATTTTTGCCAGCTGCTGACCAGAGCCTGACCTCAGCCCCTGGAGCCTTCCCTGCAAGTTCCCTGCCGCGTAAGGTTTCCCACCCTGACCCCTCACTGCCTCACGGCCGGCAGGAAGAGGGACGGACACTCCCATAAAACAGGGGCTGCAGCCTTATGTAACAGAATCCCATAATCAGGTACAGCGTATCACCTTTGTTCCATTTTGTTGGGTAAAAACAAGTCACAGGCCCTACCCACAAACTGGAAGGGGGTCACACAAAGGCATAGACCCCAGCAGCGGAGATCACTTAAGACTCTTCTAGCCTCTTAGAAACAAGCGTATGCACACCACAGATGTGTGAGTCAGCAGTATATCAGCAGCAAGTTTTCCTTAAAATACGTAACACCATCAGGGCACCTGGGTGGCTTGGTTGGGTGTCCGACTTCGGTTTAGGTCATGATCACATGGGTCGTGGGTTTGAGCCCCGCGTCGGGCTCCCCACTGGCAGCTCGGAGCCCGCTTCGGATTCTGTGTCTCACGCTCTCTCTCTCTCTCTCTGCCCCTCCCCCACTCGCGCTCTGTCTCTGTCTCTCTCTCAAAAAAAGAAACATTAATAAAAAATAAATTAAGGAAAAACACACGTAAGCATTTAACTACTCTATGATAGGTCTATACTGCCTATACTTTTAAAATAATTAAATTATGGGGCGCCTGGGTGGCTCAGTCGGTTAAGTGTCTGACTTCAGCTCAGGTCACGATCTCGCGGTCCGTGAGTTCGAGCCCTGCGTCGGGCTCTGGGCTGACGGCTCAGAGCCTGGAGCCTGTTTCAGATTCTGTGTCTCCCTCTCTCTGACCCTCCCCTGTTCATGCTCTGTCTCTCTCTGTCTCAAAAATAAATAAATGTTAAAAAAAATTAAAAAATAATAATAATAATTAAATTATTAGCATGAAGTGAGGGCGTGACCACGTTGTAGTTCTGAAGGTAAGCGTGAGGGCATTAACTGAAAGTGATGCTGATCGATCTTTAGGACGAGGGCATAAAACTGCTGTATCTAAAGGATGTATGGACTTAGAAGTAAACTCAGTGCTATAGTACCATTTGGTTTCCAATTTTCTGGTGAGGGTGAGATATATATATATATATATATATGATGAAATATATATGATGTAACATATATGATATATATATGATGTAATTGATACATAGAGAGATGATGTAAATGAAGCTCTATATTATACATATTATAGTAGATTATGAAGCTTATATTCTGACTATATTTTTCCTTTCTCTCCTCTCACTAGGTGTGATAGCCGTTGTGATATTTATCTTGCTCTGCATCACTGCCATAGCTATACGCATTTACCAACAGAGATGGTTGTACCACAAAAATGAATCGAATATTCCAAAACACGGAGACAATGCCGAGACCGCTCTGAGAAGTGAGCTCAATCTGCAAAGTACAGTCAGTGAAAGCCAGAAGGAGTATTTCTTCTGATGGGCAGTAGAGGCTCACTCATGCATGGCCCTGGTGACGCGACTTTCGGGCTGAGCCAGGGGCTCCCAGGGGATGACGCCCCCTCTCGTGCTCTTGGGACAGACCGTGGCCGTGGGGCGCCATCAGCTTGCTCGTGTGTGGCCCCAGGAGGCCCTGCTCAGTGCTGCTTCATGATCTATTGATGTAAAAGTGACTTCGGTGTGCTCATTAATCACTGTGTGGCAGTTTCTGACTGTTCTGACCTGATCTTTGAAAATTCAAATGTATTTTGCATAATGACTCTGGGTGTTAAGTGAGGGCAAGGATTTGAGCTGTGGCTCTACTCGCTTAAGACGGGGACACGGACGTTTATAAATGTCAGAGTTGGACTCTGATGTGCGTTGTGTGGAGGTCTGTATTTTGCTTCCCTTATCGATCGCCTGCTGACGCTCGTAAAGCAGGAAGTGTTTCTCAGATGGTGTTCGAGTGGTTTCCATCTTCCTGCACACCAGAGCCTGGTGGCCAAAAATGCATTCGAGACTTGGAAAAGAACATTTTTTGGCTGCTTGTTTTTACTATTTGTCTCTTTTAAGTCCGTTTGCATACGTTTTAGTGACGAAGTGCATCTTGAATGTCAGCTACGAAATTCTAGTATTCTGTTCATTCATGGAACAGAAAAATGCATAGGTAGCAAAGTGTGTAAAACATTCTGATCTGCAATATTTGCTTATTTTACTCTGTAACTGCTCATTTTAATCTTTGTAAATTATGATAAAGATGACCTCATGATCTCCCCCAAAACATCTATTTTCTAACTAAACCTGTGCCCAGGTATGAACTCTATATTTAACACTGCAACTGTATCCTTCACCCATTTCATTTAAATGAAATATAATCTTGAATTTATTTCCTTCAAATGTGGGGTGATTAGGTCACTATTATTTGTTGTCCTGTGGTTCCCTTTTTTCTGAGGTGGTCACAACAATCTGGTTTCTTACGACTGTCTTTTCATTTACTAGGGAAGAGTCACAATTTGGAACTAAAGCTCTCCATTTCTTTTTCTAAATCCTGAACTGATCCACACAAACCCTGGATTCCCCGAAGGTGGAAGGATGCTTTTGCGAAGGGAGGGCGCGGGCTGTAGGATCTGAGTTAAATCTGGCGTTCCACTCAAGCATCTGGGATCTCGGGGTCCGCTTCCATTAGAGCCCCCCAAATCGACCAGCTCATTTCATAGTAGGGTATATTTGCATCCGAGGGGAACAAAGAACGGACACGAACTGCGGGAATCGTGCCAGGAACTCCTTTCGCGGCAGTGGTCACGAGATGACTGTGTGCAGCCCACCATTTGCACCCAACAGCCAGTTACACAAATGATGTGCCGCCCTCTTCAGATGCCACTTGGCCACGTGCCTGCTGGGAATCAGATTGCTCCCTTTGACCCCAATGGGACCACCTGGGACTATACACATTTAGCCTTGCTGTTACCTTTGAGTGCACACCTACTTTTCTGTGATTTTTTTTAAAGAATAGAAACAGCCTCTATACTAAGTCTTTTCTCAAGAAAACCCCTTTTTTTGTTTCTTAGGGTTTCATATTAGTTTTCTATGAGGTGTAACAAACCACCACAATGTAGTGGTTTAACGCGACACACGTTTAGCGTCTCACTGTTTCTGTGGATCAGGAGCTAGGCATGAGTTTACGGTTTCCTAAAAAGCTGTAATGAAGTGTCAGCCCGGGCTGTGTTCTCATCTGGAGACTCAGCTAGGGAGTCCTCGTTCTTAACGGCTATTGACGACATTCCGTTCCGTACTTCTGGAAGATTCACGGAAGTCTGCTTCTGTTCAGGGCTAGCAAGAGAGAGCGCTACTCTAGTGCAAGTCTGCAAATACGAGGGAGTTTTATGGAACATAAAGTGATGATGGGAGTGACAGCCCATCTCCTTTGCCAAATTCTGTTGGTTGAAAGCAAGTCACAGGTCCTGCCCACGCTCAAGAGGAGGGGTTTATGTAGGACTTGTAACCGGCAGGCTGAGATCATGGGGTCCCTTTAAAGTCACTCTCTACACTACTATATCTTTATTGAAGTTTCTTTAAGTGAGCGATGAAGGATTTTCGGGATCTCAACATAGTAATACATGAGAAACCTACCTTGGTGAATGGTATCCATACTTTTCGCCCAAAAGGTCTGCACAGGTCGGGGAAGGATTCAACGCAAAATCATGGGCCCTGTTGCTTCTACGGAATGCATAGTTGAATGTGAACATCCTGAAATCGTTGCAACTTTAACAGATGATCATGTTGAGTTCCAAGAGAATTCATCACTTTGGTAGCTGGGATTTTACAGATTTATAGATAGGGCAATCCGTTGTACTCTGCTCTCTTTTTAAAAGAGAAAACAAAATGTTTCTACCAAATTGCGGTGATGTATAATCCACTTTACCGATTTGTAAACGTCAACCTGCTTATTTGTTAATAAAATGACATTTTTGAATTAAATTAGGAAAATATTTTTAAGAGAAATTGACTGGAATTTGAATTGTGAATTATATTGTTTTTTCCCCTAATCTATTAAAAAATGTGCAAATGTCTCCATTCTGTAATGGTGTGTGTGCTACGTTACCTGTACTATCTACAGAGAGAACACTGTGGTATGTTAATATTATTTGTGATGGTATTTAAATTATCAAACACAAAGTAAAACACAAAGTACCTAATAGGTACTGATTACTACAAGCTAAAATACCCGTGAAGGTAGAAGTCTAAACCTTTGCCAGAGAACAATAATTTAACAACCAGTAAGTTATTTGTTGAGTGGAATGTTTACCGATACACTCAAAACTGGTTAAACGTGATTTTCCCCAGAGTTGAGTTTCTCGAGCACTCTAAATATACAAATTCCAGTTGCAAATAACATCCTGCTATGAAATGTTGAAAGATCATAATTCCCCAAAATTTATTTCCCGGTAGAAAAGGAAAATGGTTGGGAATTAACACTTGTTATTGGGACTGGCATTTGACAACTTCTTTTTGCTCCATTATTAAGTGAAGACCCCCCCCCCCCCGCCCCGCTTCATTCCCTCCCCAGTATTATTTAACAATGTCGAAAAACCTATCAGGGCATTCTGTTTGTCTAGAATAATCACTGCTTCCAGAACTTTTTCACTTTCTTTCCTGTAGCACATCTCATAGGTAGTTGTTTCCAACGGGCTTTCTGAAAGTAAACTATTAAGTTCATGGCTCTTGAAGGAGGACAAATATGATTGCAGCATTTTCCATATCGAGTATACGGTTGCTCTGACGATGCAGCTGCGTTATCAAAATAGTCGACCGCCAAGGGAGATGCGGTGGACCCATGTTGAATGAAAACATGTTCATTGGGTTGCTTAATCTATTGTTTTGCAATCCATGTACTAACCTGGATTAGGTTAAAGAATCCTTTGGCGCCTTCAATAGATCCTGGCTGATTCCCCCTTCCCCCGCCAAGCTCGTAATGAGTGGCAACACGGAAGAAAGGATTAGAAAGGAAGTGATAAACATGAAGCAGTGTGCACTCCAGGCGGTGGGGAGGTGGATTGTGTGTGTAGGTGAGCCCACGGGCACATTTCCGAGCTCCAGGTCATTAACAGATTCTGTGCACGTCGAAAATACTACAGCTGAATAAAAATGTTATTAGTGATAGATCTTTGGGCTACTTAAACCTGCATATGAGAATGACTACTTTTGGGGAAGATGAAAGTATCCATAAGCGCTGGTTTGGCAAATTCAAGTTCAGAGAAAGTATCGAGTTGTTATTTAAAAAAATACTTATTCTCAGAATCATAGAGATTTCCCATTAGCAGGGGTATGAACTGCCTTGCCGTGCAAACTTTGTCTCCTCTCTGCTCAGGCTCTCTAAGCAAGTCCGAGTTGCTTTTTCCAAGGAAACAGCTTTATTAGCAAATGAGTTCAGATTACAAGATCTTTGTTTTTTTCTACTGGGCGAGTTGTCTGGGTGTAGCTCCTGCTAGAGTTACTGCTGTACCTGACATTCTTTGGAATAGCAGCCATAATATGTGGTGTAACTTTCAGCGTAAGATACGGGTTGCGCTTTGGGAAGAGAGAGAGGTCTGTGTTCCCGGGACGTGTGGCCGGATGTATCATACACAAATCACACGGCTGGGTGAGTAAGCTGGAGGGCTTACTTCCTGTAAACCTTCTGCTTCAAAATTACTAATAATGACTACCTTTGCCACCTTTTGATCGTGACCGAAAAATGATACGGATTCACTCTATTGTATCGTCATTTGTGTTAAAAGGATGAGACCCTGGACTCGGCTTATCATGCACTTTGTGAATACAAATGCCCCTGTCTCAGGTCTACCCTTGCCTTTAGATTTGAAAAATGAGATTTTCTAATTCCCTTAATATTTAAGACCTCTCTTAAAATAGAAGCTTTACAGCGGCATAGAGTGCTTTGCCTCATAAGCTCTCCCTTTAATTTTTACAACAAACCAATGAGGTTAGACATATATGCTTATTCCCTTTTTACAGATCAGAAGACTGTGGCACAGAAGTCCTTCGTTGCTTAGGTCAGAGTCACACAGCTGATTACTCCCAGCCAACGGCAGCCTGATGCTCCTATGCAACAGTGGGCTGGCTTCCATTTTCCACAGCAAGTAAAGATAAGGCATGACCACAGTTCTTTTTTGTTTCAATCTTTGCAGATATGAAATCGTATCTTCATGTTGAAAATATTTCGTGTTGAAAAAAATGTGGAATTGAAACTTCTGTCCAGGTAAACACACACACACACACACACACACACACGACTTTCTACCAACTGGTGCCAGATTTATGCTTTGAATGCTTCCTAGGATGTTTATTATATAGAGAGAAATATTCTACTCGTGCTTTCTTTAATGTTCATTATTTTAAGCATATACATGTACACATATATATACACATATACAAACATATACTCATATATACATACTCATATAGATACTTATGTATACCAGCATATATAATAGACTATATATAGTAGAATTTTCCTAAACATTTGAATACTCCCACAATACATAAATTAGCTTATAAATATTAGTTTTATAAACAAAAATTACTTTTAAACGTTAGCTTTCTAAATACAATCTACTCAGGCTAACTGAAACCCTCCTGAAATTACATTAAACATTTTACGAGTTAGCATGTTTAATAGGTTAGTGTCTCCGAAATTTTTAATTGAACTTAAAACCAGAAAAAAAAAAACACTCAAATTACGAGAACGGTCATAAAAACTCTTGTGACATTTATATCCAACTGACTGCAAAACTGTGGATGATGCGGTTCAGATCCACTTGTATTGTTTATAATATTTCTACTGTGCGGAGGTTATAGCAATAGTTATGCTCACGCTTTCTAGGGCATTCAGTGATTTGCTTCAGCTGTAATAAAAAGAACATTACAGTCTGCGGGCTTTCAGCCAGGATTCTTGGTCAGGACATATCTTCCAGGGGCGGTGGATAGGGGCTGCGACCCCCGGGGCTGGGCTCCCGCTTACCGTCGGTGCTCATTGGCCATTGCTTGTTTACTCTCTTTCTTGGACGTGCTTTTCCCTGACATCCCGGTCAGTGGGGCGCTCCACCTCGGCGAGGGGGCATCCAGTGGGGTTGCGTCCCGGTGACATCAGGTTCCACCTTCTCACGAGTTGCCCTTTCAGGACCTTCGGCGAACTCATCATTTTTGTGTGTTGTTTTGGTCCGCTATCTACTTGGCAATTTTCTGTGACTCTCGGAACCAACCTTACCTTCCTAATTGGGGGGGCCCCCCCCCCCGCCCGCTACTTTTTTCTAAAACTCATCATAGTTCCATTTTTCCAACATTTCCTACTTTTACACATAAACCTGTAGGAATCTCTTAAAGGCAGAGATGAACTACATTGTCTAAGCAGGAAATCCATTTATTGGTAATCTAATTCGAATTAAAATTACTTCTAAAATAATGTTGAATAACAGCCACCTTTCTCTCCTTTACGTCAAGTTTTTACTTTATGCCATTTTACAGTCTCAACTTCTTCCAAAGATATTTAATTATCTTTGGATAATTATATTAATTATATCATTGTATTAATTAATTATATAATTAATTATATTAATTATGATGATAATTAGTATTCTCTCTTGTCTCTAAAATTGGTATCATCTGACTCCGTTGTTCTTCCAGAATTATTCCAGACTTAAAAAAAAAAAAAACCACATTGCTTCCTATCAGCAACATGACGTTCCATAACATCTTGCATTTCGCTTCCCTAAGACACGGAATTAGCTACCCTCAAGGAGTGTGCTTTCCATCCATTAAAGTATTGGAAATCTAAATAGGAGCACCCGGGCGCATGTGAGAATGTACCCCACGCATCCTGTTGGAAGAGAGGACTGTGTCACTGCTGGGCCAGTTTAGAGGCAAAGTTGGAACTAATATTTTAAGACAGTGACTTCCGAGTAATAGTCCCAGTTTAAGGCTAATTATGTTCATCCAGGGGCGCCTAGGTAGCTCAGTCGGTTAAGCGTCTGACTTTGGCTCAGGTCATGATCTCACTGTCTGTGAGTTCGAGCCCCCCGCCCCCCGCGTCGGGCTCTGGGCTGACAGCTCGGGGCCTGGAGCCTGTTTCAGATTCTGTGTCTCCCTCTCTGCTCCTTCCCCGCTCGCACTCTCTCTCAAAAATAAACATTAAAAAAAAAAAAAAAAGAATTGAGTTACGTTCATCTATTTTCCTAACAAAAAGTTAACTAACCCATAGGAAGGGTTTAACGCGACACCTAGCCCACAGTGAATGCAATTATAATTTACTGCTTTCGTTGAGTCAATGGATACTTTGGAGATCTCATATATATATATATACAGCTGAAATGGAAATTAAAATGATTATTTGGCTATTTTTTTTCAACATAAGCAATTGATTCAGACATGTCAAGCCCCAGAGGAAAAATTCATTAACTGAAAGTAACTAGTTAATCACCATTTCACATCCACACTAACGACATCCGAGCCACTTTATCCATGGTTATAGGGAAGTAACAAGGAGCAGATGTGGCCCTCCACATCGCAAGAATCTCACAGTTACAAGAGCGAGAACGAGTGGGGCCCCGTTTCCTGCCCCATTGTGGGGCTGCACACAGGGATCAGATTTAAGAAGAAGGACCCTGACCTTGGACTTGTAAGCTGCAAGATTGCAGAAACCTGTCCTTCCCTTGCTACGTGCTAATGCAGGCATCCGACCCAGAATCCTGTACTCACGAGAAGATTTCTGAAAAAGGGGTCCAAAGTGAAGATACTTGGGATAACAAAAAATGAGTGAGCATGCCCTATAAAGACCTTCATTAATGAAGTTTTAAAGCAATACAGCTCAATGGAAATTTCTATGAGGATAGAAAAGTAGCCACCAGCCACATGGCTGAGGAACTAAATTTTAATGTTAATGTTAATTACTTTAAATTTAAATAACCACTTGTGGCTAATGGCTACCATACTGGACAACACTGGTCAAAGGATGTGTAATAAGCACAAAAAAAAAGACATTTCTAGAAACTGCAGAGTCTGAGATGCAGGAAAGAAT